CTGAGCCAGTAGCGAAAACAAAACAAAATTCCAATCATATAAAAATACCGTTCTACCAACTTAACAACGCTAATTTCTTTAGCCTCTAGCGCCGCTGTCACCGGAAATATTATGTGCGTCGCGCGCGGCATATTTTGAATCATAGATAGAATTAAAAACTGAATATTCGTATTCGCATTCGCATTCGCGAAAGCTTAAAAACTGGTATTCGTTACATCACTACTGTTCAGCAGCGGAGTACGATAATTACGATAAAAATGTCTTATGGTATTTTTATTATTATAATTATAATTGAAGTAAAAGAAATTGTCCCATTCACAGATAATGCCGATGAAAATTCCGTACTCTAAATTCTGTAATATAATTTAAAACGTGCAAGTGACTCACTATGTGGTAAATAATTTTTCGTGGAACCGTAGAGGGTGTATGAGAAAGGAATGTCGCGCGATTGTGGTGAGTAAACGTCCTGCCAAGAAATTAAAAGGATCGGTTTTTACTTGGGTCAATTTTGGGGAACATTCATTATATCAAAAGGGGCCTGATTAGTAAATATGAATTTTTTCATCAAATGTATATTTTTATTATTTAATAAAGAAATAATATCCCTAAACAAATTAAAGTCAAAATTTTTTTCATACTTATAAGTAATTTATGGACTACGATAAATTAGACAAATTGCAAGATAATTATGTGAAAGAAACACTTTCTGGTGCATTTATCAAATTAAAATAACCTCGGAAATGACCAATGTTGTATTAATATAAAAGATACTAGTTAAGCAATAAAAATATTTTATCGGTAATGAAATAAAATAGTCATAAGAATTGTTTATAGAATTTAATCACTTTATAAACAAACTGTAAAATGAGGACACTTCCGAAAATGTTGCCATAAAAGGAATTAAGGCTAAAACATAATTTTAATTATTTCCATATTTTTTGAAACCACATGTTCTCTGTTAAAGAAATTTAATACCATATTTCAAGAAAATACATTTAGAAGAAACCGCTTAATCGATTATGATCTCAGCTTTTACTTGGTAATTATTTTGTATACAATATGTCCCTATGAAAACTTAACGCTATATTATGTATGTACAGGGTGTTTTATTAACAACTCGCTAAAATAGTTCAATTTTTATTTTTAGGGACAAGCCTCAACGCAAAAATTTTGAAGGGAAACAATTTTTTTACTCTCTTCAGAACCATGTTTTGTTTTTTAAATAACCTCGAAGAGTTTCTGGCAATTACTTTTTGCTAAATGTGATCTAAAAACAATATTAATTTTTCGATTAGGCAAATTAAGATGAAATAACTTTCATTCCATGTATGTTCTCACATATCGGCCTAACCTATCTTTCCATTATCAACAACGTTATCTTTGATGTCAAAATGCGTCCCCGTTAAAATACGAATTCCTCTGATTTTTTAAAACTTATTATCTACAAAGTTATAGAGCAGAGGAGGAAAGTTTTCGTTTGAAAAGGACATAACTTACGTGGCACTGAAAATTTTAAAATAACATATAAAAAACATAGAGTCTGTACGATATTTGTTGAGATAGAATTCCAAGAAGACCCCAGCGCACCTTGTGGGAATTAACTGCATTGAACACCAAAGGAAGAAAGACGTAGGCGGCGTGGCGTTCAACATAACAGCTTGCAGTGCATACTGCGTTTTGCAGTTACGAAGGCATGTTTCTTCGTGAGTCCTGTGTATTTTCAGTGTAATTTCTTATTAAAATAACTTATATAAAAGAACATAATTTAATTCCCAGTCAAAAAAATCTACCTTAGGTATATATATTTTAATATTCTGAAAATAAAGCGGAAAATTTCAAGGCACGCCCCTGATGTGGTAAATTGTTACACGAACTTTATTGGCTTGTTCTTTTCTTGGAATTCTACCTCGACAAATACTGTACGGACTGTCGGACTGTACACCATCACTACTAGGGAGAGTATTCGTCCAAAAATAATAATAATAAAGAACTAAATACGATTTTACCCTGACTCTGAGATACAGAGCCTTAAAGTTTTTTAAGTTTTCAGTATTTTTCGAAACTTCAAAATAATCTACAAATTAGAGCCACCTTAAATATATTAAGAAAAAAAATATTTCAGTACGTACGGCACTGGCAAAATCTACAACATTTTTTATATTTCTATAAAATTATAAAAACCAAGCAGATAATTTGAAAAAAAATGAATACCTTGTATCTTCGATACGCAGAAAGGATGGCGCCATTTTGAATGGATTCAGTAACAAAGAAGAACAAAAAATCAATCGATACCACTAATAATGGATTCACATCAATACTCGAAACCAGACATTAATCTTTTCTTGGTCAATGTCATTTCATATTTCTCAGAGCATGTTTTCAATGTGGTCAAGGATGCCAGGTAGGGGGTTGATAGTTTCTAAGTTGTCTATTCATCTCGTCAGATCTCTTCATTGTTATTACTGCTGCATCTTAAGTTTTTAAATTTGTACAATAAACTGGTGCTTTTTAATGTAACTGTGTATCTCAGTCAATAAGGAGAAAACAAAGAGAACAAACAAATTATTCAGAAAAAGTGATACTACAAGAGAATTAAAAAAATATATATTTTTAAAAAGAAAATTAGTAAAAAGGACATATCTTGGTTAAGTAAAAAATAGTTCACATTAAACTAGTTATATTGTCAACCCTTTTGAAATTGTCTAAAATTGAGTTTTTAGTTTTATATGCATATAATTTTGTTCGATTAATATTTATTAATCCCAATTAGTCCAGACGGTATCTGTTTCAAAAAGCCATATTTGGGTGAATCGTATATCCACTGAGATTTTTGGCTTTTTAGCTTTCAAATATCACTAGAAATTAAAATTTTTCTATGCGCATAAAAAGAACGTGGGCTTAACTTTAGGCGGCACATGTTAAAAAAATTCGAAAAATGTCAAATTTTTCTTCCGATTTAATTATGTACATTTTCAAGAGTTGATTTTAGGCGAAAATGGAAGAGGAAAAAAATTTTTGTAATTAAATTTTGAACAAAACAAGACTAGTTACAAATCGAATGAATCATGATTATTATGGTAACAATCGAAAAAATCGCAAAAATGGGTTTAAAAATCAATACTTTTTAGTGAATTTTTTTGGGGTATTTAAAATGGGTATAGGATCTTTATACTTGGCTCAAGAAAACTTCATGTTATGTAGAATCATCACACTAAATTTCATCAAAATCGGTTCTATAGATTTTGCATAATAATTTTGCAATCCAGATTTTGAAAAAATTTTTGCAAATTTTCAAAATTTTGCACAGCAAAAACCAAGACCCTTAGATACTTGAAAATTTAATCTCATATAGAAGGGCTCTCAGGCTTTCAAATTTTTTTTGAAAAATTCGAATCCGTCAATTAGGAGAGCTCTGGCGCTTGTTTAAACATTGGTCAAATTTTTGTACTTATAAACAATTAGAATAACTTTGTGAATATTTAATCAAATTTTAAAATTTTTTAAAGCAGGTTTTAAAAGTTCTCGGAAAGACGCTTCTTTAAAAAAAAAAACAGATCGATTGATCAATCAGTTACGTAAGTTATAGCCGTAAAGTTAACCGTCATTTACACTAAATGTACTGGGACATCCGGGCTAATTCTTCGAAAAATACCTTTGGTATTCCGAGTGCTTACCAGGTCTAAGATTACAATACTTTTCTTCATTGGCAACCTACTTTAAAACGTGTTATTAAGTTATTTATGCCATGGCAAGGAAGCCACTTGAAAAAGCAATCCCAAGTAAAATGTACAAATGGTAAGATCTTTCTATCGTGGCTGTTGTTAAGTGTTAGCCTTGGTCAAGGATGATATTAGAACAACAAAAATATTCTTCGAAAGATTACAGTATTTAACAAATTCAATATATCAGGTATGTGTTTTTGTATAAATATTATTTGGAAATGTAATTTGTAACTTTTATGTTAGATTCTTCTTTATTAGCTGTTTACTAGATATTGTTCGTATAATTCAACGCGAGTTGGGGCATAGAGTACTTAGTTGTTTTCCGCAATAAGATCATCTTTAATATAAATAATAAATCCAATTTAAAGTAGAAACCACGTATTCACAGTGTGATTTCCAATTTAGATTTAGAAGCAAGCTCAAATTGAGCCTTAAGGTACCCCTTTGTTTCTAAAACCTTCAAGTAATAATAAAAAAACTTTCTTATCGTTAGAATACTGTAGAACAAATTGTTTTCTAAACTCAATAAAGAAGGTGATCCTGTCAATATCTTTAAAACTATTTTAAATAATTAATAACAATAAATAAAAAATTAAAATTTAAACACTGTATCTCGGAAACGAAGCATATTTCGACCTACGTTTATATGAACTTTTTTTCACAAAATAACTTTGGCAACCACCCCCTAAAATATTTCGCACTTATTTACAAACAGCCTGTATGTTTAAAAATACTTTTTCAATATGGAATGCGATAAAAATTCAAAATACCTTCCAGAAGTATGATTATGTATTTTGTAAGTGAAAATGTAAAATAATTCTTTTCTATTGAAAAAAGAAACACATTTTGTAAATTAAAGTTTGTACAGAATTGTAAAATATAAACTCCATTGGACTCATTTTCTGTCTTTTGGGTGATTCCATTGCAAGTTTGGTTGCCTAACAGTCGCAGTCACGTGGGACTGGGACATTTATGAAGGCACTTTTTAACTTAACACGTCTGTCAAAAATATACAAAAAAAAATCGTTGAAGTCATATATTCTAGTCGGGAACCCTGTATTTTTTTACATAGAAAAGTGCGCGACAACATTTTTTTTATATTTATGTATTTATGAATGTTATGAATTTATTCCAAATTGCTGATTTGCACTGTTATGTTATTATTCTACCAGACCTTTCCCAGTTTTAAATTCGACATTATTTGTGTATCATTAAATCCATAAATCAAAATAATAGGGAGAAAAATAATTTACTATTTGTGAATTGTGGAACACTTACCCTCTCAAACGCCTTAGGATGAGGCCTAGCCACGTTCTTCAATTCAATCTTGGGTTTGAGCAGAGGAGTTTGTGGAAGTTCACCAGATTGTACTTCCGTTCCCTCCCCATCCGGTATCTGTCTGGACAAGGGCTTGTGGGGTTTATTGGCTAAATCACTGTTAACTTCCCCGTCAACCACATCCGCGGAACCACTACTTTGAGTCGAAACCGAACTCTGACTATCCTTATTCTCTAAAGCTATATGAGCATTCGTTTGCGGACTAGAATTATCTAAAATTTTTGTTTTGCTTAGAACCGTCGTAATGTAGTTATCACAACCAATGAGTTTCTTGCCGTTCTCCAGCAGGGCGGCTTTCATTTTGTGACTCGGGGTCGATGTGACGTCGGCGTCAGATAGGGAAGAAGCCGTCGACGTCGTACTGAACGATTTGTAATCCTCGTCAGTATCTATCAGCTCAAACCCGAAAGTGTCTTCCAATTTTTGGATCTTCTTGGGCTTGTTCTGTCTATGAACGGCTGGCGGGGTGAAACTGGCGCTCAAAGCGTGCGACCTTTCTAAAGGCCTGTGTAGAGCACGTGGAGGTAGAGGTGGGGCGGAGGATTCCTCAGGGAAATCCATCCCGCAAGCGTTTTCCAGGTCCTTAACCTCCGCTTCTGGACTTGGAGAAGTTGAAGCGTTCCATATTTGGAAGTATTCCTTGCTGGGCGACTTGGAACTTGCTTTGGGACGCACTTTTTTCTTTGTGCCGCCCATCGCGTCCGTAGTTAGGCCGTTTGGGGACTTCTTCTTGACTCCCGACAAGATTGGATCCTTGCTGTTGTCCAGGTCTTCCAGGGAGTTCGAGTTTACTAAATGCGGGGGATCGGTCTCGATCTCGTCCTGGAATGCATCGTTCTCTATGCCATTGCACTTCTGCCTTCTTATTTTTATGAACTTCTTTAGTTTATCGACGGGGTGTTTAATTATTAGTGGGTCGGATTGAGCTATGTAGTCTAAAGTGGTTCCGTCGTAGTATCGAAAGCATAACAGTTTTTCACAGTCTGCAACAAATTCAAAATGAAACTATTACAAAAGATTCGAGTATTTTTTTTTTGTTCATATTTAATTTTAAAATAATTTCTAATAGGTATTTCATGGTTAAAAAAAAAATGAAACACCAGTAGAAAATGAAGCAGAAAACGAATCATAAATGGATGTCAGCAAAACAGACAATGCAGCAATTTTTGAAAATGTACGACAGTCGTTGAGGCGAAGGCTCGTCGTTTGTGTTGCTGCCAATGGTGGACACTTTCATTTTGCTGACATTTGTCTGACTTACTGACATCTATCTATGATTCGTTGTCGTAAATCTGCTTAATTTTCTACTAATGTTTCATTTTTTTTAAACCTATTAGATTTTAAAATTAAATATGACCCAACAAAAAAACTCGAAAATGGTTTATTGTGTGAAGAAAATGCAAGACACCTTTTCTATTAAAAATATGACAGTAAATTAAACGCGCCTATTATTTTCCGAAAATCCAGTGGTGTAGTTTTCCTGAGGGCTTTAATGACAAAGCTCCTCTGAATCTCCGTCACTGGTTGACAAATTTATAGAGAAATATATTAGAATTATTATTTTTAATTAGATACATCATTTCCCCAAGTTTTCTCAATCTACGTCAAACAACTTCAGAGATACATAATTGAAAAAATGTGATATTTTTCAAAAAAATTTAACACCCTCTATCTTGGAAACCAGTAACTTTAGGGCTCTGGTTTATTAAGGCTTTTGGGCCTAAAATGACCCAAGGAATCACCCTCTTAGTTTATAGCATAGACTAAGGATATTATAATAGACGCAATTTGAACAAAAAGTAATTTTATTTCCGAAACTGTGAGAATAAAGTTATAGAATGAAATACGAGTGCTGTTACCCTGTGTTTTATATTCATTAGTACTATTTGGAAACATTATTGTTTTTCATTCCAACACTCTAGCTCTAGATATAACCTATAAAATATAATTTATAAAATGTATTACATTATCATATCACCTCTATATATTGATGAGAAAAAATAAGATCCAAACCGTTCTATGCCTGGTGATTCTACAGACAAATGATCTTATTTGTTTACTAGATATTGCAGATGTAATTTTATGCTGAACGGGGATATGGGGATTTAGTTCGCAGAGTAGTTGCTTTGCAAAATATTACTAGTTACAAATTTGGTATCAAATAGTACAGTTAATCCACATAGTCTGCTGAGTCTCATAAGCGACAATTGCAAATTGTTAATTTATAAGATTTTTTCATTAGTTTCGTAGTTACAAGAATATTTTCCTTAATTTAAATTCAAAAACGACGTGTAACTCACAAAGGATGCAACATTGGATGAAGATATATTTGGTGTAACTGCCACATTTTATCCTCAAGATTATTTGCTGGCATTTGTGCGTTTTTATTTAAATGCACTCTGTATATAACTTAATTTAATGAGAATTTGGAAAAATTCGAATTAATTTGAGACAAAACGCATAAATCTCTAAATCTCCTTTCTTAGTTGCTTCTCTCTCTAGTGGCGGGCAAGTGCGAAAAGTATACGAGCAGTTCGAGGAAACTGGCAGTAAATATAAACGTGGGACTTACCATTTTGTGTTTGAGGTATATCTAGAAGCCACATTGTGGTCTGTTCTTGACCACAAATACTTTGCCTAGCAAGGCACTCTTCAACGGCAGTACTGTCTGAAATGAAAGAGAAACAGTATCAGTAAAGTGATTTATAAAATGTCAAGAAATAAATACATTTACAATATCAAACTATAAAGAATTTTTTGATGTTAAAACACTTATCAATCATAAAATAGTCTATAACTGTTCATTTTGAAGTTGCAGTGAATGCGAGGTCTGTTCAAAAAATAACCGAACTTTTTTAATTCCCCACTCTTCTTACTCGCTCGTTGCAATTTTTTCTTATTTCCGAAATTAAAATCAGTACTGAAAGGAAGCCGTTTTCAGGCTATTTGATGACATCAAAGAAAATTCGTCACATATTTTAAAGGCCATTTCAAATGAAACTCTCCAGGACTGCTGCGCGATATGGCAACACCGCTGGGAAAAGTGTGTGAATAGGGGAGGGGAGTACTTTGAAGGAGACAAAGACCAATGTATTCATATATAAAATTAATAATAAAGTTCGGTTAGTTTCTGAACAGACCTCGTATATAAGTATGTATTTTAGTTGGTTTCACTATAATGTTAAGGAATATTCATCTCCTGGCAGGGCGAACTGGAGGCACTCTGTATATCGGCGTTTTGTAAACAAACGCCGGATAACTAAAACAAACGGAGATCAAGCGTTCGGGCGACACCGCGTGAAGAGGCATAAGATAGGATTATTCAGATATGAATGTTTGAAGCGTTCACATACAGTCTGTTCACTTCCTATAAATTTTTGTTAATAACAGTGTATAATCGAATTATTAATTAACATTTATCTTAACATATCAGAAGCGGGATTCGTGCCTGAGTATTTAATTCTGTTTTTATAAAATTTACGAGTGTATTGTGCTAGTGAGAAAACACCTTTATTGGTGAGTACTGTTTATTATTTATTCGCTGTCTGCCTGCTCATTCGTTAAGCGCTTTTACATTTTGGGGTGTGTTTTGACTGTTTTTGTTATTTTCATTGTGATTTGTTAAGTTCACAAAAAAAAAGAACATTGTGCAAAAATATTCTAACAATGACGGGACGTTCAAGCCGTAGCCGAGTACGTAAACAGGATAGCAGTCATCGCCGACGGCTCGCTTCCAGGCGTGATAGAAGCCATAGCCAAATCAATCGAAATGTTAGTCCGCGTTATACACAAATTTTGGAACGACGACTTAACGCATTAGAAACTTTGGTTCGAGCTACGCATTCTAACCGAGATACCTCAAGTGATTTACGAGCTGCACTTCAAACTACGGAGACACGTTCTCGGAGTCCACACGACGCAAATTTAATAAATAAACAAAGATATTGTAGGACGGATGGAATTAATACCTGAATTTGATGGTTTTTCCAACAGTTTGACAATTCGTCAGTGGTTGGCGAAAATCGATACGGTCGGAGAGATTTATAGTTGGGATGATCGCGCGAAAATATTTGCAATGATAGGGCGTCTTACCGGAAATGCAAAATCTTGGTGCGACTGTAGGTCAGATATTAATTCATCTAATTGGAATGAATGGAAAGACATACTTTTAAGTGCTTTTCCATCGTCGAAAGGAATTGTGACGAACCTGAGATACTTTGTGAATACCGAAAGAAAACGTAACGAAGATGTAGTAACGTTTTATTATTCGAAATTGAAGTTAGGTAAACATTGCGACCTACCAGATCACGTAATTACGGATGTAATAATCTCCACACTAAATGATAGTTTATTAAAGGCTAGTGCTTATGCGGCGGGTTACAAAAATAGCGAACAACTTCTGAAATTTTTAGTAGAATCAAATTACACATGTGACAATAAAGAACAAAAACGATATCCAGTACAAATTCAACATAGAAATGCAAATAAAGTAGGCTGTTTTACTTGTGGAAAAACTAACCATAAAGCAGCCAACTGTTTTTCATACAGGACAGATAGAAACAATGACGTGAGGAGGTCCGTAACTTGTACATTTTGCAAAAAACCTGGTCACCATAAAGATAACTGCTATGCATTAAAATCCAAAACGATTAACGCGACAAAAATAAATGTAGTGTCTGTGGATGACGCAAAATATCACGTCACTGCAAAAATTAACGATGTAGACGTATCAGCTTATATTGATTTCGGCAGCGCTTGTAATGTTCTGAAAATGAAAGTCGCAAAGTCACTTAATCTTCCTATTGATAGATTTAAACAAACTACAATGCGTGGATATGGCGATGCCGTAGTTTCTTCAGTTGGCGAAACGTCTGCCAAAATAAAAATTAATGAAGTCGAAAGAGAAGTACCAATTTTAATCGTTGACGATGCGATGCAAGACATGGATTTACTAATCGGACGTTCATTTACCGAATCACCGAACCTGCTGGTTACCAAAACAAGTGACAGCTTACAGTTTCAAAATGAAGACGCTAGTTTATGACAACTGCCTCGACTTGAAGCAGAGAACAACGTAAAATGCAGACATCGTAAATAATAAAACCGAATTGTACCCCGGGATAAACAAAATTGAAATTTATTGCGACATTTTAAATGGCAAGATAACTTCACACCATTCAGAGCAAAATCGGAATGATTGTCACATTATTATACTATCATGACATGTCAAATTTAAGTAAACTGAAGTCATCTTTCGACAAAGACCAATGCATATTGTGGGGACTCCCTTACGGGCATTCCACGACTGAAGTACCTGTAGTACCTGAGGCCTTACCGAAAGATGTACAACAACGCTTAGATAATCTTTTAGAGAGATACCAGGTTTGTTTCGCTGATAGCAACGCTGAGTTGGGTAACACCAATGTTGAAATGGAGATCAGTTAGACCAGCCTGTTTGTTATACACCATGTAGTAGGTTATCTTATCACAAACGATACTTAGTAAATAACAAAGTGTGCAGAATTGTTAATGGAGATAACAGAATTGTTATACCAAAAGATTTCAGGTGAAGAGTTCTGAAATTACAGCACGATGACAACGGCTACCCTGGTTTGAGAAGAACAGTAGATTCTATTCAAACAAAATATTGGTTCCCTCACATGAAAGAATTTGTAACAAAATACGTAAAATCTTGCATACCATGTCTTTGTGTGAAAAAACCAACAGGAAAGGGAAAAAGTTTTTTGTATCCGATTCCAAAGGTAGATAAATCATTTCATACATTGCACATTGACCATTTGGGCCCGTTTTGCAGAACCGAAAATAGCTACATCTACATGTTGGTGATCGTTGATGCATTTACTAAATATGTCTGGATTGAAGCTGTTCCCGACACTAGTACAAAATGTGTCATAAGATGTATAAACTTGTTAATTAAAATTTTTGGTGTACCGACTAGATTAATATCGGATAGAGGAAAGTGTTTTACGAGAAATGACGAAGTTCTGTAAAGAACAAAATATCAAACATATTTTAAATGATATTACTTGCTCTCGAAGTAATGGACAAGTCGAAAGGTTTAATGCTACCATTTTAAATGCGATGATGACGGCAATTGGTGATGAACACGACGCTTGGGAAATGAAAGTTACGGAAGTACAACATAGTATAAACGGGACACTGAACGCTACAACAGGCTACGCGCCTGCTGATCTTTTATACGGTTTTAGACCAAGACTTAAATTCGATATTAATGTGAATGATAACGAGCAGGTAGATAGGCAAGGTTATTTAAAACTGGTGCGCGAAAAAGCTGCAAACAATATAATTAAGAGTGCCAGTGCAATGAAAAGACGCTACGATAAAAATCGTAAACCAACGGTCATCTATGAGGTTGGTGATATGGTCATGATGGAAAGGACGCCAATTGTGAAGGGGCTTGCGAGTGGTAAGCTGGTCCAGAGGTACATTGGTCCTGTAAGAGTACAACAAGTTCTCCCCAATGACCGATACCAAGTTCAAAGTGTGTCCAAAGATAGAAGAGGTTTTAGAGGTGTGGTTTCGAGCGACAAAATGAAGCTCTTAGACCACAAACAACTGATTAGAGGTGAGGTATTTAATTCTCATTTTCATAATGATATTCTGGCATATTAATATTATTATTATTATTATCATATTTATTGTTTTTTTTTTATGTATTAGAGATTTACTAGAATACTAGTGAGCATGTCGGTGCACAAGGTGGGTGATGCCTGTGTACTGCCAATTTTGTATTGAGTAATGTTGAAGATAAGTATACAAGGTGGGTGAGGCCTGTGTACTACCAATTTTGTTTTGAGTAATGTTGAAGATAAGTATACAAGGTGGGTGATGCCTGTGTACTACAGATTTTGTTTGAGTAATATTGAAGATAAGTATACAAGGTGGGTGATGCCTGTGTATTACTGATTTTATATTGAGTAATGTTGAAGTAGAGTACACAAGGTGGGTGATGCCTGTGTATACCTTTGAATTTGTATTGAGGACACTGAAATGAAGTAAATAAGATGAGTGATGCCTACGTGCATTATTAGTAGTTGAATATAGTGGAAGTTGAGTGCACAAGGAGGTTGAAACCTGTGTGCTTTTGAATATATTTTTTTTGTTTGTTTGTTTTGGTAAAAATATAATTTTGTAGTTAGCGAAGTTCTTGTTGAGTCCCCGACGTGTGTGCACTCTGAGAATAAATCTTGTAGAGTCCATTAGATTACAGATATCTTTTGCGCACTCCAAGTAGTCTTTTTGTTTAGTCCCCGACGCGTGTGCACTCTGAGAATAAATCTTGTAGAGTCTATTAGATCACAGATAGTTTTTGCGCACTCCAAGTAATCTTCTTGTCGAGTCCCCGACGTGTGTGCACTCTGAGAATAAACTTTGTTGAGTCCATTAGATCACCTTTTGCGCACTCCAAGTAATCTTCTTGTCGAGTCCCCGATGCGTGTGCACTCTGAGAAGGTAGGCTTGTTGAGTCCATTAGGATATGAGTATCTTTTGCGCACTCCAAGTGATTTTCATGTCGAGTCCCCAACGTGTGTGCACTCTGAGAGTAATGTTTGTCCATTTGTTTATGTATTTTTGTGTACTCGAAGAAGTACGTTTTCGTTTTATTTTCTCTTCTAGGAAATTTTT